TATTGTTTTCATGGAAATTTTGAGATGTATCATATCTGAATGGAATCGGATGTTAATTCCGCGTTTTATGAGCTTCATGGATATTCAAAATTGTGACCCTTTCTGGGGGAGGTACCATAAGGGGAGGTACCATCTTCACACCTTGGGTTAGTAGAAATAATGGATGTGGAATGGATGGATGTGGAATGGAAGGATGTGCGAAATTTGAAGTTGGTTGCTTATTTCGCTTTCTTTGAGCGTTTTTATTTCAAAATCTTGAACCCTATGTGGGGGAGGTATCAGAAAATCATCCGATCTCCACCATATTTATAAAAGACTAGCTGGCCCGGTCCGCTTTGCCGGCCCGTACTTTTAGTCTTTAAGGCATAATAAATCACAGATCTGACTTATGTAGGCGGCACAATTTTGATTATAAGTAATGACTTGATTATGAGTAATGACTCCATGACTAAATATAAATTAATATTCATGCCAAAAATTATAATTACCGTCGGTTTTAGATATTTTGAATAGCCTGATCTAATTTTTCAGCTATAGGCTATAATTTGAGTGTTGAATACCTATATGATAAAGAACATCTATAATAGCCCCATGTGAAAATTCAGCACAATTTTTGATATTGTAAAAAGCATTCAAATGAGCTATAATTTGAAATTTGTATTTCCAACGTTTAAAATCCCGTAGTGCGTATAAATGCCAATTAGGATAATTATCTGTAAGTGATTTTCTACCAGAGGTAGCCTCAAGACTAAGATGCGCCCTTTTCCAAAAAATAAAAATTTTATAAAAAGAGGTTTACTTCCCCCTTAGAAACAAAAATGTCAAATAAGGGCCAAAAAATGAAAAAAGTGGCCAAGACCCCAAATTAGTACGAAAAATATTTGAAATTTGTATTTCCAACGTTTAAAATCCCGTACTGCGTGGTATTCAGTTTTGTCCACCTCATACTTGAAGGCAGAATGTTGTCAGAATAGCCAAAAAAATTACTCTTTTGCTTCGATTACCGTAAGATGGGCATTAATTGTTTGTCATTTATATTGTGCGGTGGAGATCCAATAAAGTTACTTTATAATTTCGTATTTTTTTCATGTTTCTGCCACAATTTCCGACTGAATGATTCCCAGATTGACATTTCGGAGTTTATTTCATATAGACGTACATCCCAAATCTACGTTCCCAACCAATATTCTCTTGGGGGTTACAAATTCAATAGAATACCAAATTTTCTTTTCTGACCACACATTGGTTGGGAAAGTGGACTTGGGGGTAAACTAATGTGGGGACTATACTTAAATAAATTCCTATGAGGATAATTATCTGTAAGATGATTTTCTACCCCAGGGTTTTTTACCCCAGGTAGCCTCAAGGCTAAGATGCGCACTTTTCCGAAAAATAAAAATTTTGTAAGAAGAAGTTATTTTCCCCCTTAGAAACAAAGATGTCAAATAAGGACTAAAAATGAAAAAAGTGTCTAAGACCCCGAAAATACCTTAAATCATATGATGGTGATACCAAAACGTGATAATTTTTTGCAAAGATGGTTTATTCTTAAATTATCAACATAAGCTAAAATTAGTAAGAAAAATATGCTTAAAATGTAGAATATACTTGAAATCGGGTTGTTCCGTTATCAGGGGTTATGACCCATATCATGACCTGCCAAAGCGATTAAAGGTATCATGAATGTTTAGGTAGAATTTCTATTTTGCGTTCTTTATAATCGGTATTTGACTGATTGCAGTCCCAATGTATTTTGCATTTTGTGTTCTCATTTGACAATTTATTGCCATATGAAAGAAGCAGGTCCACTTTTTGAAATTAATCCCATAACGCTCCTTCGGTAATTTTGGTTTGATTAAATGTGTTCGCATCTTCCAGCTGAAGCACGATGTAGGTCCTGGAGTAGAAAGCATTTAACATCGTATTGCGCCCTCATTTCATTTTTAATATTATTCATTCAGAATTCAAACCAATAAAAACATTTACACTTCAATATAGAAAAAAGAAAAATAATCTTCAACTGGTTCGCTGATTTTTTTGCGGCAAATTTTTAAAGGTCCTTACGAAGTTTGTCGGTAGAATGTACTATTATTTTGAAATTCAATTCCATTGAAAAATTGTCGATTTTTCCTGATTTTAGAATTTTCATATAAAGCGACAACGGATAAAATTGTTATTTATAGATTTTATGTGTTTATAAATAACAGTTTTATCCGTTGTGGCTTTATACTACCCAAAAAAAACCTACACATCATATTAGAATAAAAAAAAAAACACTACAAATGTACATTCGAAAATAGTAAGTCAAAATGGAAAAAATATGCAATATAAAACATCACTATTGTACATTTTAAAAGTCAAAATGAAAATGTTCAAATTTCACATTTTCATTTTATTATTTTGGATTTTATTCTTTTCTGCCAAGAGTCAATTCCGAATCTGTCTAAATCGTTAAAATCAGACCGGCGGTCTTTATGTTATAAGAGTAGTAACTAACACAACTTTCTTTTACTATAGAGAGATAGATTTAAAAGTAGGCGCGTTCCTCAGCCTCTAAATAAGTACTTAGGGTTGGATGGAAAGCCAACAGCATCTTGTGTAATAATTCTCAAACCGATATCTTCACTATTTTGGCAAATATAAAGATTTTAGATAAATCGTAATAGTGGGCGTAAAAGGAGGCGTGGTCAATATTTTTTTCTTTAAAAACCTAACTCGGGGCATGACGAACGTTTGTACAAAAATATTACGCAAATCGGTCCAGCCGTTTTCAACCGATTCCGTTACCAACAAACAACAATTGACTTTTACATATATAGATATTGTCATGGAAATTTTGAGATGTATCATATCTGAATGGAATCGGATGTTAATTCCGCGTTTTATGAGCTTCATGGATATTCAAAATTGTGACACTTGTGGGGGAGGTACCGGATTAGGATAGGTACCAACTTCACAGCAGACCTTCTGTTAGTAAAAATAATTGCGCACAATATGAAGTGAACCGTATGCTGATTTCGGACTTTATAATCTTTTTTGTTATTCGAAACATTAACACTTTGCGGGGGAGGTACTAGAAGGAGTGGTCCGATCTCTACCTTCTTTGCAACAGATCTTGTAGTAATGGAAATATTGAGTTTTGTTAAGTCTGAATGGAATGGGATGTTAATTTCGCGTTTTATGAGCTTCACGGATATTCAAATTTTGACCTTTGTGGGGGATGTACAACAAGGAGTGGGCCGATACATTCCATCTTCACACCATACATTGGGCTAATAAAAATATTGTGATCTGTGTAGTTTAGAGACTATCGGACTCTTACATCACATTTTATAGGAGTTATAATTATTAAAAATTGTGACCCTTTGTGGAAGTGAACGGATATTGTCCATGTTGGCACCTAACCTAGCACTGATGCAAATATTAGGATTTGCAAAGTTGGAGCGAAATCGGATTATTTTTTGTTTATCTGTGCAGTAAAATATTTTTTTTTTTTTTGAAAATTTCACCTTTCGTAGGGGGAGGTACCAGAAGGAGTGGACCGATATTGCCCATATCCGAACTCGATCTAAGTTTGACAATAACATTTCGATGTACCAAGTTTGGACCAAATCGGATACTCCCTACGAGAGTTATCGCACGCACCAATTAAAGTTAGAGTAAATCATGAAATCAGATGAAAATTTATATTGAAGCTCTGAACCGATCTCGATAAAATTTGGTAAAGGTATTTTCGAGCAGTATCTGATGCCTGGTATCAAATATCACTGTTGTGGAATGCATATTGGTGAGGGACTTTAGACCCCAAATCGAGCTATAGTTATATCTGAACCTATTTACACCAAATTTGAAGTGCTAGTTTCTAGGATGAACTTAGTCGTAATTACCAAAACCTGATGTCGGATAAATATATATATGGGAGCTATATCCTAATCTAAACCGATCTCGATAAAATTTGACAGAGGTGTTTTCGAGCAGTATCTGATATCCGGTACCAAATATCATTCTTGGGGCGTGCATATTTCGCACTTTAATGACTTAAAACTCCAAATCGGTTGAAACATATATATGAGATTTTCCGATTTTCTCCAATTTCGATGTACTTGCTTCTCGACTGAATTCAGTCGTATGTGCCAAAATGCAGGTCATTTGGACTGATATTGGCTATTTGGTGAACAATTAACCCGAAATCGGTTGAAGACATATATGTGAGCCATATCTAGATTTGAACCGGTTTTCACAAATTTCAATAGGGTTGGCACTTGGGCCAACCAAATATTGTTTGGAAAATTTCATCGGATAATAGATATGGCCTGCGTTTTCTTCACAAAAATAGCTGGACCGACGGTGAGGCGGACCGTCATTCATAAATCAGAACGTGATTCTATGAAGATCCTCAAAAGTAACTATGATTCTATCTCGCTTCCTTCTCCATGTTGCAAACAAATGCACAAAGACATAATACCCTTACCACTATGTGGTGTAGGGTACACAAATGCCGAAAACTCTATATTTAAAGAGTTACGGCCATTTTTAAATACTTTTCTCAAAATGTAGCTAAAAACGCAGAAAACTTCACATTTAAGAATTTATGGCCATTTGAAAATATATATTCACGTTAAAAAAAAATTGTTACAAAACATGACCGGAAACGCCCCCAACTCAGTATTTGAGGAGTTATGGCCATTTTAAAACATATCATAATTAACGCATAAAAAAGTGATCACAAAACATTGTTAAAAATTCCGAAAACTCAATAGTTAAGAAGTTATGGCCATTAAAAATACTAATTTATTCACGCTTAACAAAGTGTCCATAAAACAAAGCTAAAAGCGCCGGAAACTCATTTTTAAGGAGTTATAGCCAAACATAGTGAAAATAATTTTCAAGGACTTTTCGGGTAAAAATTTTGCAATTTTACATACAAATCTTACACAATATGGTATTAAAAGCAATGTTACAATTATTTTCATATATTTGTATATATTTTTTTAAACTTTTACAATATTCACATTACATTAGCCGTGGTGTATCTAGCTAACAACAACAATAACCTTGTTGTTGGCATTCTCATCGGCAACTTTTGTGTTGTTGCCAAGAAGTCTCTCTCGATGAGTCAACGATGGTTGCCAATGCCATATTTCAGGATGTGCTGTAGGCGTCGCCTTTCTTTGACACTCAAAACCTTTTCGAGTTGTTCCAGTGTCAAGTTGATCTCGCGTAACGAATGCAAAGGTAACCAAAGTGTTGTAATGGCAAAGGTCCTTAAAAAAAGACGGCATTAGAATTTAATGAGAAAAAAAAAAACAAGAGCGGAATGAGGTCAATGTGATTTGCATGAATTCTTTGAAAGAGCAAAAAATTAAATGTTAGAAAAAAATAGGGAAATGATAATGATGTTGGTGCCTCCCCTCTCCCACTTACCTATGCAATCTCATGGCATCAATGGCACTTGGCTGCATGGCCTCCAGTTGTTTGATTTCCTCGCGGAATTGCCGATTGTAACGATGGAAGGATTGTTGGTAACGTTTTAGGCATTTTGTCTGGCTGAAAGGGTAAATAATTTTGCGGAAATTTAAGCCAGAAGTTACAAATTTCCAACACATTTCCACCATGAACACCAGAAAGGAGCAGCGCATAAAATGGAATGAAAGAAGAAAATAGGCAGGAAATTCAATCAGTTCTAAATACATTTTGGCCAATCCTTGTGAATGGCTTCTTTTTTGTGTTGTTGTTGGCCAAACTCCACAGAAGAGAAAAGAAAAAAAACTCACACACACACACATTTCACTTACTAGCTTTCCTCTGTCACTTCGGCCTGCTGACGTGGTGAGCCGTAACCCAGTTTACGTGCTATCAATATGCGATACCATTGCTTCTGTAGGGCATTCATGGGCCTTTTGAAAGGATTTGTCGTTAACTCCAATGTGTGTGGCATTTTCCTTTTTTTTGGCCTGCTTCTTAGCTGGAAGAAATGTTTTAAATTTGCCTGTATTTTCTGCAAAATCGAAGTGACTCGAATGGAAAACTAAATACAAATGTTGAAAATTTGCAATCGCATATTTAAGTTTTGTTTATTTGATTGCCATGGTAAAATTTGTTTCATTTCTTCCATAAATTGAATAAGCGTGTGTATATATTTAGAATTGCAGTGTAACGAAACCAGCAAAGAAAGGTCAAAAGTATGGTATGCCGACTTTATGGTACCCTACACCAATATGCATATTTAGTAGAGCTATCCATAATAAAAACCAGCAAAGAAAGTTTTGAAGTCGGGCGGGACCGACTTTATGATACCCTACAGCACTTTGTTAATTTAGTAGAGCTCCGCATAACAATTAAGGGTTTTTATGGGAGAATTCAATCATACACCCTATGATTATAATTATAATTTAATGTTCAAAGCACTAAATATGCCGAAGCATTTGTATCTTTTAAATTCGGACTTCTATTGCCCATTTTGGTGCACAATTAATTTGAAATCGGATAAAGATATATATGGGAGCTATATCCAAATCGGAACCGATCTCGATAAAATTTGGAAAAGATATTTTTGAGCTGTATTTGATATATTTCCCTGAATATCGTTGTTACGGAGTGCATATTACGGTTGTGGGTAGCAAATATAACCAATCGGATAAACAGTATATATGGGAGCTATAGTTACATCTAAACCGATCTTCACCAAATTTGACATACTAGCTGCTAGACTCAATTCGGTCGTAAGTGCCAAATTCCATCCCATTTGGATAAATATTAGACGAAAATCGGACGAAGTTATATATGGGAGCTATATCCAAATCTGAACCGATCTCTATAAAATTTAGCAAAGGTATTTATGAGCTATATTTGATATATTTCCCCAAATATTGTTATTACAATCCGATGAACAATATATATGGGAGTTATAGCTATATCTGAACCGATTTCGATCAAATTTGGCATACTTATTATATCCTACAACACTATGTGTTGGGGGTATTATAAGTTTGATTGGGCCAAAAATTATGTAACACCACGAAATATAGATTTCCCACATAGGAAAGTATATATGGATCTTCCTATCTCGCCGAGCTGAGTCGATCTAGCTATGTATGTCCGTCCGTCCGTCTGTCCGTCTGTCCATGTTAATTTGTAATCACTCTACAGGTCGCAATTATGGTCCGATCTTCACGAAATTTAAAATGGAGGTGGGGCTAGGGTCAGAATAGAACCCTATTTCTTTTGGTGATGATCGCATAATATTTAGGGGTTGAAATGGACCAAATACTGAAAAAATTCCTGATTTTGCACTTGCTCTACAGGTCGCAATTATAGACCAATCGATGCGGAATTTCGCATGTAGCTAGAGTTTAGGGCTGGCAAGAAGCCTACCCATTTGGGTGGTCATCGGATAATATTTAGCGGGTAAAATAGCCCATATCTTTTTTGTTGAAAAAATTCAAAAATGTTTCATTAAACCGCGAATATTTTAAATCCCGGCGAAATCACAAAGCCATGACAAGGTTACTTCTGATCTTTACATTGATGTTAACATCCAACAAAACGGATATATAGCAAAATATGTGCGATATATATGTTTATCAAAGAAGATATGCTTGAAAAATCTCTTATATGTCGAGAACGGCTGAACTGATTTCGACAGTTCTCATTATTTCAGAATGGCCTCTTGGCAGGAAACATAAAACGTCTAAAAAATCGCATAAAAATATCTCTCTAAAGGTGAAAATATTGATTTTGTAAAATTTTCTCATATTTTTTCTATTTTGTCATATTTTCATTTTGAATTAAACATTTGGTAATATTTCTACAGCTAACAAAACTAAGTAGTTAGGATATCAGGATATCATATACAGATCGCATTGATCGCCCGATCCTTATGTGGCGTTTCCACTGCACTTGATTCGCTCTCTATTCTTTGTTCGACCCTTAACTATGAAAAAACTACTTAATTCTTCACACAAAATTTCCTGAGCGAACACTCATATTTGTACATTGTTCGAATCAAATCACTCTCCGAACAACGAAAAAATATGTCCCATCCCTAACAAATGAGAGCATTTATCGAAAAAATAAATTATGACATTTAAAAATTAAAACTAGAAAAATTTAATGAAATTTTAAAAATTTTTGGGAAGACTGAAAGTTATGAATGAAAACTACAATGTTGAATGGCGTATGTACATTCAAACGAAAGTACATTTTGTTTTCTCTTTCATTCGCGGTACGCATTTGGTCCACGAGTTGAAATTTCCACAGAAAACTGCAAACAAAAGAGCAATATTTTCAAAATGTTTGTATCGGCAGAAAAAAATTTTTGACAAGTGTCTCTCCAGCAGAATTTAAAATTAAAAAAATACAAAAATATGTTCAAAATGTCAATATTTACACAAAAACTTGAAAACATGAATGAAAATTGTAAAATTAATGATATAATTATTCTTTGGAAGAAAAACAATAATTTCTTCTATTCATATTAGTGAGAATTTCATGTATTTTTGTATAAATTTCCATTCAAATCAACAAACAAAATATGTGAAAAAAGGAATTATTTTACTATGAATTACGAATCGTGCCGTATGAACGGGTTAATTCGTGTACCTAATTCTGAGAGCGAACAACGTGATTGAAAGTGTAATGAGAACATAGCATTACGAAATTTTGCATGGAGATAAGATGAGGGTCAGAATAAAAGCCTATTCTTTTTGGAGATGATCGCCATATATTTAGGGGTTGAAATGGACCAAAAAACTGCAAAATTGTCAGCAGGTCGTAATTATGGGGGTTACCGGACATTGCAAAAGCCAAACAGTTTTGGATGGCCATCCAAAAATATTCAATGTGTGAAGGAGTTTGCCAACTTTTATAGACAAAATACCAAAATGTCCATTCCAGTGATTTTTTGAGAATTCACAAATACATGAAAGACGCACTTCTGACTATTTCGTTAACGCTGATTTCGTTGAAGAATATAGTCAAATGTCTGTATCTCATATAGATGCGTTTCAGTCAAAAACCAATAATAAATGTTAATCTTTTGCCACTTCTGAGAGATTATAGGTCTTTGGGAAATATTGGTTCCAGATCTAGGAAGACCATTTACGTGCAACATCTACCAATAAATTGGAAATGAGCAAATTAGTTTAAGTTGCTATTATTCGAAAATTAGACAACGAAACCTGGTTTTCTTTTATTATTTGTCACAATATCTTGTGGAATTCTTTCGAGTATCTCGCCTATATTAACTGTATCGTTTATTATAGTGTTGTAGGGTATTCAACGGTCGGCCCCGCTCGACTGTAGCCTTTGCTTACTTGTTTTTAGGCCTAATTTGGTTGTATGTGAAAAATTCCATACTATTCGGGCTGATATTACACGTTTGGTGCACAATAAAAGGCAAATCGGACGAAGATATATATGGGAGCTATATCTAAATGTTGACCGATCATCTTCAATAGGGCTCGTCCTTGGGCCAAACAAATGATTTGTTCAAAATTTCATCTGGATAGGGCAATAAATGCGAACTGTACTTTGTTTACAAATATACATGGACAGAAGGATGGACAGACAGACGGACGGACATGCATAAATCGACTCAGAATGTGATTCTATGCAGATCATCAAAAAGAACTATGGGTCTATCTCGTTTCCTTTTGCATGTTACAAACAAATGCACAAAGACATAATACCCTGACCAGCTTGTAATGTAGGGTATAAAAACTCAGTGGTATTTTTGAGGTCTATGAGATATCCGATACCAAATATCATTGTAGTGAAGTGCATTTTACGAATGTGAGGGACTTTAACAGCAAATCGGATGAAACATATATATGGGAGCTATAGCTGTATCTGAACCGGTTTTAAGTACGTGATTGAGGCCTTGACTGATAAAACTTGGACTGATATTAACCATTAAGTGCATAATAAATCTCAAATCGGTCGAAAAATAAATATGGGAGCTATACCTATATCCAAATCTGAACCGATCCCGATAAAATTTGGCAAAGGTATTTTTGAGCTCTATGAGATATCCGGTACCGAATATCATTGTTGTGGAGTGCATGTTACGAATGTGAGGGACTTAACCACCAAATCGTATGAAACATATATATGGGAGCTATAGCTATATATTAATGTATTTGTTTCTAGGCTGTGTCGTTTGTACCCTCGTACCAGATAATAGTGGTATAGAGTGCATAATTTGACTTCGAGAAGGTTTATATTAAAATTATATATCGGAGCAATAGATATATGGGAACAAAGTTTCAACAAATGTCGTATTTGCTGCTGCAAATTCAGTTCAGTGTGCAAAAATCTATCCAATTCGGACTGATATTAAATATTTGATGCTGAATAACCACCAAATAGGGTGAGGATATATGTATGGAAGCTATATCCAAATTTGAGCCGATTTCGATAAAATTTGGCAGTGGTATTTTTGAGGTCTATAAGATATCCGATACCAAATATCATTGTTGTGAAGTGCATTTTACGAATGTGAGGGACTTAAACAGCAAATCGGATGAAACATATATATGGCAGCTATAGCTGTATCTAAACCGGTTTTAAGTACGTGATTGCAGTCTTGACTGATAAAACTTGGACTGATATTAACCATTTGGTGCTCAATAAATCTGTAATCGATCTGTATGGTTGCTATATCTATATCCAAATCTGAACCGACCCCGATACATTTTGGCAAATGTATTTCTGAGCTCTATGAGATATTCGGTACCGATAATCATTGCTTTGGAGTGCATGTTACGAATGTGAGGGACTTAACCACCAAATCGGATGAAACATATATATGGGAGCTATAGCTATATCTTAATGTATTTGTTTCAAGGCTGTATTCGGTTTGATTTCAGATATAGCCATAGCTACCATACATACATACATATCAGTCTACTTTTTGATAAGGTCCTAAGGGTAAAGTATTTTTAACGTTTTGGTAATTTACACTTTTGGTTTTTTGAGTACTAATTATCTGGACACGCCAAAAGAAGAAACCTGTTTTTTTAATTTGCTACGAA